GTAACTTAACTTGTAATCAACATTATGTTTATATTATCAGAATTATTCATAATAAATTTGAACAGAGTAAGTAATTTTTCATAAATATAAAAGGTAAAGTGTCTTAACTTTTACAACATTATCTACTATTGCATTATTTTTAAGTCATAACAGTTAAAAATAAAATTTCTTATTTGAATTGTTATATTTAAATGCATTGTTACTTGATGATTTATGTCATCATTCAATGTAAACTGATAAGCAGATTAGACTACTAGTTTCAGTGATTATTCTGTGAAGAAATAAATTCTCTGTTTTCTTTATCATATTGTCTAGATTGATGCAACAACAGTTTTGTTATTGCAAAAATATTGATAAGCAGAATATGTAATTATCTGTCGACTGCCACGAGCGGGTCTTAAAGACCCATTCGTCGACGATGCCGTAATCTATCTGAGAAAAATGTTTTGATATGTGAAAAGAACTGCTATAAAAAATTCTGTTATAATAGCATATCGTGATGTTTGCACTATTGTACATATATCGTTATTGAAATATCGTTATATCGTTATCGAAATATTATAAGCAACATATAGGACGGGAATATTTCATTGCGAGGTGCGTTAATAAAATCTTGCTTGAAGCAAGCATTACGCAAACTGAAATATGCAATGTATGAAATGAAATTTGCAATATGCAATATATCGATAACAATGTAACGCGTATAAAGAGAATCAATATTATTTTGCTTCATAAAGATTCCGTATTGACATCAATATATATTTCAAATATATTCAAATATATTTAAAATATATTATAGTAATCTATAAATAATCATTAAGCTTTCCAAACTTAATACTTCCTTCAGTTTTATGACTTTATTTGTTCTATCATGAACATAATTTTTGTTTTTTAGTAAAGTGGAAAATGAAACTTATCGTATTATTACATTTTCTATGGATGGAACTGAACATGATAAAGATTTCAACAACGTGACAACGTAGACAACAAACGGGCTAGGTTATCTATTATGAAAACTCATGTCGGCCAATTATCAAGAAGATGCAAATAAATTACCTTTTCACACCCATTTGTGCGATTACGATGAATCCCATTCGTGACTAAACGAGAATTCATGAGAAAATATGCAAGTATCATTCACAAATAAGTAAGAATCGCATTTTCTCACGTCTCGACAATTCAGTCTGCATTCGATCATCTGTTGCAAGTCCGCACGCAGGACGCAAATAACTAATATAATTATCTATAATAAAAGTGTAAAGAGTGTAATCCTGTACCGTACATGTGTTTTGATTATCTAGTTATAAATAAAAGCAATTTAATTTAATTTTGCCAGAAAAAACAATGAAAAGCAAATTGAATTAGAGCAAATTGAAATAAGTGAAACAATTAAAAAATTCTGTCTAAATTTTACATTCTATCCAAAGATATTACGTGGCGATTAAATAATAGATCGCGACGCGGAAATTTAATTAAGAATACAATGGGCATTGAAGTTCAAATCGAATGTACGACATAAAAGCGGAGTGCGTGTAAAAGTAGGATACTTTTCCGTAGCATGAGAAGCGAAAGTCCTACAAGTCGCTACATCTAACGGCATGGTAAATTTGCGATTTAAGGATCACGAATGTCGCGGCTAAATGTGGATCAGAATGAATCATGCGTACAGTTTTACTGGCACAAAGATGTGTGCTTGGAAATGTAATCTTCGCTAATACTGCGAAATAATTTTACAATTAACAAGAATAGATGCACAAATATATGTTGCTAGCTTTACGCTATTAATACTTTGCATAATTAATATACTTTAACGGAGCTATATTTATAACCATAAATATATAACGTTTGAATTTTTAACTTATTATTATTATTATTATTATTATTATTATTATTATTATTATTATTATTATTATTATTATTATTCTAAATTATATATGTATAAAGTAAAAGACTT